GTTATATAATGACTCAGTAGTGTCATCTAGTAGTATAATGACTCAGTAGTTTCATCTAGTTGTTATATAATGACTCAGTAGTTTTATATAATGACTCAGTAGTTTATATAATGACTCAGTAGTTTATATAATGACTCAGTAGTTTATATAATGACTCAGTAGTTTCATTTAGTTGTTATATAATGACTCAGTAGTTTCATCTAGTAGTTTATAATGACTCAGTAGTTTCATTTAGTTGTTATATAATGACTCAGTAGTTTCATCTAGTTGTTATATAATGACTCAGTAGTTTATATAATGACTCAGTAGTTTATATAATGACTCAGTAGTTTTATATAATGACTCAGTAGTTTTATATAATGACTCAGTAGTTTTATATAATGACTCAGTAGTTTCATCTAGTAGTTTTATAATGACTCAGTAGTTTTATATAATGACTCAGTAGTTTCATCTAGTTGTTATATAATGACTCAGTAGTTTTATATAATGACTCAGTAGTTTTATATAATGACTCAGTAGTTTATATAATGACTCAGTAGTTTTATATAATGACTCAGTAGTTTTATATAATGACTCAGTAGTTTTATATAATGACTCAGTAGTTTATATAATGACTCAGTAGTTTTATATAATGACTCAGTAGTTTCATCTAGTTGTTATATAATGACTCAGTAGTTTATATAATGACTCAGTAGTTTTATATAATGACTCAGTAGTTTTATATAATGACTCAGTAGTTTATATAATGACTCAGTAGTTTATAATGACTCAGTAGTTTTATATAATGACTCAGTAGTTTTATATAATGACTCAGTAGTTTTATATAATGACTCAGTAGTTTCATCTAGTTGTTATATAATGACTCAGTAGTTTTATATAATGACTCAGTAGTTTATATAATGACTCAGTAGTTTATATAATGACTCAGTAGTTTTATATAATGACTCAGTAGTTTATATAATGACTCAGTAGTTTATATAATGACTCAGTAGTTTTATATAATGACTCAGTAGTTTTATATAATGACTCAGTAGTTTTATATAATGACTCAGTAGTTTATATAATGACTCAGTAGTTTATATAATGACTCAGTAGTTTATATAATGACTCAGTAGTTTATATAATGACTCAGTAGTTTCATCTAGTTGTTATATAATGACTCAGTAGTTTTATATAATGACTCAGTAGTTTATATAATGACTCAGTAGTTTTATATAATGACTCAGTAGTTTATATAATGACTCAGTAGTTTATATAATGACTCAGTAGTTTTATATAATGACTCAGTAGTTTTATATAATGATCAGTAGTTTATATAATGACTCAGTAGTTTATATAATGACTCAGTAGTTTATATAATGACTCAGTAGTTTATATAATGACTCAGTAGTTTTATATAATGACTCAGTAGTTTTATATAATGACTCAGTAGTTTATATAATGACTCAGTAGTTTATATAATGACTCAGTAGTTTATATAATGACTCAGTAGTTTTATATAATGACTCAGTAGTTTCATCTAGTTGTTATATAATGACTCAGTAGTTTTATATAATGACTCAGTAGTTTATATAATGACTCAGTAGTTTATATAATGACTCAGTAGTTTATATAATGACTCAGTAGTTTTATATAATGACTCAGTAGTTTTATATAATGACTCAGTAGTTTATATAATGACTCAGTAGTTTATATAATGACTCAGTAGTTTCATTTAGTTGTTATATAATGACTCAGTAGTTTCATCTAGTAGTTTTATAATGACTCAGTAGTTTCATTTAGTTGTTATATAATGACTCAGTAGTTTCATCTAGTAGTTTTATATAATGACTCAGTAGTTTCATCTAGTTGTTATATAATGACTCAGTAGTTTTATATAATGACTCAGTAGTTTATATAATGACTCAGTAGTTTATATAATGACTCAGTAGTTTTATAATGACTCAGTAGTTTATATAATGACTCAGTAGTTTATATAATGACTCAGTAGTTTATATAATGACTCAGTAGTTTTATATAATGACTCAGTAGTTTTATATAATGACTCAGTAGTTTATATAATGACTCAGTAGTTTCATCTAGTTGTTATATAATGACTCAGTAGTTTTATATAATGACTCAGTAGTTTATATAATGACTCAGTAGTTTCATCTAGTTGTTATATAATGACTCAGTAGTTTATATAATGACTCAGTAGTTTATATAATGACTCAGTAGTTTATATAATGACTCAGTAGTTTTATATAATGACTCAGTAGTTTATATAATGACTCAGTAGTTTTATATAATGACTCAGTAGTTTTATATAATGACTCAGTAGTTTATATAATGACTCAGTAGTTTATATAATGACTCAGTAGTTTTATATAATGACTCAGTAGTTTTATATAATGACTCAGTAGTTTTATATAATGACTCAGTAGTTTTATATAATGACTCAGTAGTTTATATAATGACTCAGTAGTTTTACCGACTAACTTTTACTAACGTTTTGTCTCGTCAGGCGTAAGGTTGCTAGGTTACTGTCTAGCGACGGCCCTAGCGACGGTCGCCGGGGGAGACGGGATCTGTCTTCTGGCCCCGCCCACAGGAGGGCCCGCCGTTCCCTTGATGACATGGCTCCTCCCTCTCCTAGCAACGACCCCCCCCCTGCTCAGAGTGAAGCGATTGGACGAGGAAGAGCTCCGTCCCCCCGCCGGCCTGCAGAGGATGAAACGCATCGACGCCATGGCAACCGAAGAACTGCATCATGGGAGTCGTAGTCGTAGGCGGAGGAGAGCGGCTCAGGACTACGATCCCCAGATACTGATGGATCAGATCCTGGAGTACATGAGGGAGTGAGAGGAGGAAGAGGAGGAGGAGGAGGAGGAAGAGGAGGAGGAAGAGGAGGTGGAAGAGGAGGAAGAGGAGGAGGAAGAGGAGGAGGAAGAGGAGGAGGAGGAAGAGGAGGAGGAAGAGGAGGAAGAGGAGGAGGAAGAGGAGGAGGAGGAAGAGGAGGAGGAAGAGGAGGAAGAGGAGGAAGAGGAGGAGGAAGAGGAGGTGGAAGAGGAGGTGATTAGAGTTTCAGGATCTGTTTCTGTAATTTTAGTGTTTTGCTGTTTTCAGTGAAAATGTTGTTTGTTGTTAAAATGTTCAGAAATGAAAAGTGATGAAGATATTAAATTCATAAAATCTGTTGTTTCTTAAAAAGTATTCCTAGAAAGTTCCAGATGTTTTGTGACAGGATTATTATTTAACGCCAAAGAACAAACAACAACAAAAATAACAACATAATTCTGACATTAATTCATACAAGTTAAAGAAAGCTGGTTTTATGAACAATCCCAAATATTCGGTCTAAAGACTTTTGTTAAAATATAAACCAAAGACATTTCATCATTCATAAAGACAAATAGACTGGGCTAATGAACCTGTTCTTTTATAGAAACTCTTCTAACTAATATAATAACTTTATTTTAGATGTGATTAATACCACATGTGCAGGAAACTTTCTCAGAAATTACATTTTTTCCTGAGTTTGTTGAAGCGGCATTAAGCACTACATTACCCACAATCCTCTGCTGTCAGTGGAAGATCCAGAGTTCTGTCCACAGCTCTCAGAGATCGGCTGCCTGGCAACAGAGTCTGAAGCTCTCTGATTGGTTGTCTGTGACAGCAATGCTCTCTGGGAGTTGTAGTTAACCCCGCCCACTTTGATTCTCTGATGAAAATTCACTTTTATTAAGATCACCAACAGGTGATCGAGGGTGACGGCAAACGTGTTGACGGCTCATCTGCTCTGTGATTGGTCCATTCATGTTGCTTTCATGTACTTCAGCTTCAGTGTGGTCTCTCGTCTGTTTGTAAAACTAAAACGTTTTATTTATCTCACTCTGAAATAAAGTAAATATCCACAAACCGTCTCTTTTATTATTAATGAGTCTAAACCTCATTTGTTTATCTGGTCAGGTGACATCCACAGGTAGCTTCACTTTGACTGGGTTTGTCCTTAGAGCAGGTCACTTTACTGTAACATCAGTACAGGGAAAACAAGCTAAACTGGAAACATAATTAAAGGTACCTGGTCAGGTGACATGAGCTTCAGTTGTGTTCCCTACTCAGGTGACTCACTGCGCCTTCAACAGGTAGCTTCATTGGTGATATCAATTAAACATGTATTTTCACATCAGCACTAAAACAGGTAACCTCACCTGAAGAGAAACCTCCCCCTGAAACAAAACTGACTGAATTAAAACATTCTGAAAAGGCTGCTCAGACTCACCTGCTCAGGTAACTTCATCAGGTAACTTCACCAGGTAACTTCATCAGGTAACTTCACCAGGTAACTTCACCAGGTAACTTCATCAGGTAACTTCACCAGGTAACTTCATCAGGTAACAGGTAACTTAATCAGGTAACTTCACCAGGTAACTTCACCAGGTAACTTCAACAGGTAACCTCACCAGGTAACTTCATCAGGTAACTTCACCAGGTAACTTCATCAGGTAACTTCATCAGGTAACTTCACCAGGTAACTTCATCAGGTAACTTCACCAGGTAACATCATCAGGTAACTTCACCAGGTAACTTCACAAGGTAACTTCATCAGGTAACTTCACCAGGTAACTTCATCAGGTAACTTCATTAGGTAACTTCATCAGGTAACAGGTAACTTAATCAGGTAACTTCACCAGGTAACTTCACCAGGTAACTTCAACAGGTAACCTCACCAGGTAACTTCATCAGGTAACTTCACCAGGTAACTTCATCAGGTAACAGGTAACTTCATCAGGTAACTTCACCAGGTAACTTCACCAGGTAACTTCACCAGGTAACTTCATCAGGTAACTTCATCAGGTAACTTCAAAAGGTAACTTCATCAGGTAACTTCACCAGGTAACTTCATCAGGTAACTTCTACAGGTAACTTCATCAGGTAACTTCACCAGGTAACTTCATCAGGTGACTTCATCAGGTAACTTCACAAGGTAACTTCATCAGGTAACTTCACCAGGTAACTTCATCAGGTAACTTCATCAGGTAACAGGTAACTTCATCAGGTAACTTCACCAGGTAACTTCACCAGGTAACTTCACCAGGTAACTTCATCAGGTAACTTCATCAGGTAACTTCAAAAGGTAACTTCATCAGGTAACTTCACCAGGTAACTTCATCAGGTAACTTCACCAGGTAACTTCATCAGGTAACTTCACCATGTAAAATCATCAGGTAACTTCACCAGGTAACTTCACAAGGTAACTTCATCAGGTACCTTCACCAGGTAACATCATCAGGAAACTTCACCAGGTAACTTCACAAGGTAACTTCATCAGGTAACTTCACCAGGTAACTTCATCAGGTAACTTCACCAGGTAACTTAATCAGGTAACTTCATCAGGTAACTTCATCAGGTAACAGGTAACTTCATCAGGTAACTTCACCAGGTAATTTCTCCAGGTAACTTCAACAGGTAACCTCACCAGGTAACTTCATCAGGTAACTTCACCAGGTAACTTCATCAGGTAACTTCACCAGGTAACTTCATCAGGTAATTTCATCAGGTAACTTCATCAGGTAACTTCAAAAGGTAACTTCATCAGGTAACTTCACCAGGTAACTTCATCAGGTAACTTCATCAGGTAACTTCTACAGGTAACTTCATCAGGTAACTTCATCAGGTAACTTCAAAAGGTAACTTCATCAGGTAGCTTCACCAGGTAACTTCATCAAGTAACTTCACCAGGTAACTTCACCAGGGAATGTCTACAGGTAACTTCATCAGGTAAATTCACCAGGCAACTTCACCAGGTAACTTCATCAGGTAACTTCACCAGGTAACTTCATCAGGTAACTTTATCAGGTAACTTCACCAGGTAACTTCATCAGGTAACTTCATCAGGTAACTTCACCAGGTAACTTCACCAGGTAACTTCATCAGGTAACTTCACCAGGTAACTTCATCAGGTAACTTCACCAGGTAACTTCATCAGGTAACTTCACCAGGTAACATCATCAGGTAACAGGTAACTTAATCAGGTAACTTCACCAGGTAACTTCACCAGGTAACTTCAACAGGTAACCTCACCAGGTAACTTCATCAGGTAACTTCACCAGGTAACTTCATCAGGTAACTTCATCAGGTAACTTCACCAGGTAACTTCATCAGGTAACTTCAAAAGGTAACTTCATCAGGTAACTTCACCAGGTAACTTCATCAGGTAACTTCTACAGGTAACTTCATCAGGTAACTTCACCAGGTAACTTCATCAGGTGACTTCATCAGGTAACTTCACAAGGTAACTTCATCAGGTAACAGGTAACTTAATCAGGTAACTTCACCAGGTAACTTCACCAGGTAACTTCACCAGGTAACTTCATCAGGTAACTTCATCAGGTAACTTCAAAAGGTAACTTCATCAGGTAACTTCACCAGGTAACTTCATCAGGTAACTTCACCAGGTAACTTCATCAGGTAACTTCACCAGGTAAAATCATCAGGTAACTTCACCAGGTAACTTCACAAGGTAACTTCATCAGGTACCTTCACCAGGTAACTTCATCAGGTAACTTCACCAGGTAACTTCACCAGGTAACTTCATCAGGTAACTTCACCAGGTAACTTCATCAGGTAACTTCACCAGGTAACTTAATCAGGTAACTTCATCAGGTAACTTCATCAGGTAACAGGTAACTTCATCAGGTAACTTCACCAGGTAACTTCACAAGGTAACTTCATCAGGTAACTTCACCAGGTAACTTCATCAGGTAACTTCATCAGGTAACAGGTAACATTATCAGGTAACTTCACAAGGTAACTTCATCAGGTAACTTCATCAGGTAACAGGTAACATCATCAGGTAACTTCACCAGGTAACTTCACAAGGTAACTTCATCAGGTAACTTCACCAGGTAACTTCATCAGGTAACTTCACCAGGTAACTTAATCAGGTAACTTCATCAGGTAACTTCATCAGGTAACAGGTAACTTCATCAGGTAACTTCACCAGGTAACTTCACCAGGTAACTTCAACAGGTAACCTCACCAGGTAACTTCATCAGGTAACTTCACCAGGTAACTTCATCAGGTAACTTCACCAGGTAACTTCATCAGGTAACTTCATCAGGTAACTTCATCAGGTAACTTCAAAAGGTAACTTCATCAGGTAACTTCACCAGGTAACTTCATCAGGTAACTTCATCAGGTAACTTCTACAGGTAACTTCATCAGGTAACTTCATCAGGTAACTTCAAAAGGTAACTTCATCAGGTAGCTTCACCAGGTAACTTCATCAAGTAACTTCACCAGGTAACTTCACCAGGGAATGTCTACAGGTAACTTCATCAGGTAAATTCACCAGGCAACTTCACCAGGTAACTTCATCAGGTAACTTCATCAGGTTACTTCACCAGGTAACTTCATCAGGTAACTTCACAAGGTAACTTCTACAGGTAACTTAATCAGGTAATTTCACCAGGTAACTTCATCAGGTAACTTCACCAGGTAACTTCACCAGGTAACTTCACCAGGTAATGTCTACAGGTAACTTCTACAGGTAACTTCACCAGATAATGTCTACAGGTAACTTCACCAGGTAACTTCACCAGGTAACTTCATCAGCTAATGTCTACAGGTAACTTCATCAGGTAATTTCACCAGGTAATGTCTACAGGTAACTTCTACAGGTAACTTCACCAGGTAACTTCACCAGGTAATTTCACCAGGTAATGTCTACAGGTAACTTCATCAGGTAACTTCACCAGTTAACTTCACCAAGTAACTTCAACAGGTAACTTCATCAGGTAACTTCACCAGGTAACTTTACCAGGTAATGTCTACAGGTAACTTCACCAGGTAACATCTACAGGTAACTTCAACAGGTAACTTCATCAGGTAACTTCATCAGGTAACTTCACAAGGTAACTTCTACAGGTAACTTAATCAGGTAACTTCACCAGGTAACTTCATCAGGTAACTTCACCAGGTAACTTCACCAGGTAACTTCACCAGGTAATGTCTACAGGTAACTTCTACAGGTAACTTCACCAGATAATGTCTACAGGTAACTTCACCAGGTAACTTCACCAGGTAACTTCATCAGCTAATGTCTACAGGTAACTTCATCAGGTAATTTCACCAGGTAATGTCTACAGGTAACTTCTACAGGTAACTTCACCAGGTAATGTCTACAGGTAATGTCTACAGGTAACTTCATCAGGTAATTTCACCAGGTAATGTCTACAGGTAACTTCACCAGGTAACTTCACCAGGTAATTTCACCAGGTAATGTCTACAGGTAACTTCATCAGGTAACTTCACCAGTTAACTTCACCAAGTAACTTCAACAGGTAACTTCATCAGGTAACTTCACCAGGTAACTTCACCAGGTAATGTCTACAGGTAACTTCACCAGGTAACATCTACAGGTAACTTCAACAGGTAACTTCATCAGGTAACTTCACCAGGTAACTTCACCAGGTAATGTCTACAGGTAACTTCAACAGGTAACTTCATCAGGTAACTTCACCAGGTAATGTCTACAGGTAACTTCACCAGGTAACATCTACAGGTAACTTCTACAGGTAACTTCTACAGGTAACTTCACCAGGTAACTTCACCAGGTAATGTCTACAGGTAACTTCTACAGGTAACTTCACCAGGTAACTTCACCAGGTAACGTCTACAGGTAACTTCACCAGGTAACTTCACCAGGTAACGTCTACAGGTAACTTGAGTGACTCAGAGAAAACGTTTAAAATCTATAATGTATTTATTAAAGTGAATAAAACACAAACACTGTTCGTAAACGATGCTTTCTATAAACAACAAACATTCATATTTAAAACACTTTATAAAACGTTCAAAGGGCAAAACATTACATTTAATTAAACAAATTAGAAAATGTGTAAATCCAGGTTTTGAGAAGGTGTTTGTTGTAGACAGGTATTAGCTGTTAGCTCTACCATAGGTGGAGGCTACGTCAGCTAACAAACAGCTGATCAGCCTGGAAGACGCACTGCAGGGGATGCTGTAAGGGTCATGTTGACTAGCCTAGCTTAGCACAAAGCTGGGGGTTACTTTAGCCTAGCTTAGCACAAAGCCGGGGGTTACTTTAGCCTAGCTTAGCACAAAGCTGGGGGTTACTTTAGCCTAACTTAGCACAAAGCCAGGGGTTACTTTAGCCTAGCTTAGCACAAATCTGGGGGTTACTTTAGCCTAGCTTAGCACAAAGCTGGGGGTTACTTTAGACTAGCTTTGATAAATACTGGAGGTTGGTTAGCTTTAAGTTAATGTCCCATAAACCAGTGGTCAAAAGCTAAAGGCTAACTTTATGCTAACTTACCCCAGAAGCTAAATCTAAGCTATCTGGACCCAAATGCTAATTGGAATTGAAGCTAATTCTAACTTCTGGGTTCACACATAAATAATAATTAGCTAAGCTATCTGGACCCAGATGCTCTTAGCTAACTGAAGCTAACCAAATACAACATGTAAACAGATATGGCGTTGATGATCATGCTAAGCTAAGCTAAACAGAGATTAACCATGTGACACAGGAGGGTTTTAATACAATCTCAGACGGCTTCTTTTAGATTTCACGTTGACAGGTTTTAAACTCACAGAAGATGAAAACGTGTTAACAGATAACACAGATCTCTCGTTGCATAGCTCTGAACTGCAAACAAACAAACAAACAAACATGAAAATAAAGGATCTGTGTAACATCATGAACCAGAGCATAGAACCATATCATAGAACCAGAGCATAGAACCATATCATAGAACCAGGTCATAGAACCAGAGCATAGAACCAGATCATAGAACCAGAGCACAGAACCATATCATAGAACCAGAGCATAGAACCAGATCATAGAACCAGAGCACAGAACCATATCATAGAACCAGGTCATATAACCAGATCATAGAACCAGAGCATAGAGTAGAACACATGGAGGGCTGCTGGGTAATACAAATAAATAAATACAGAGTGAGGGAAGGGGGGGATCTCTGGATCTACAAGATAAATAATACATTCAGTAAAAAATACGTTACTCAGGTTAACATGGACCTGCTGTTTGGCATCAGAACATGGACCTGCTGTTTGGCATCAGAACATGGACCTGCTGTTTGGCATCAGAACATGGACCTGCTGTTTGGCATCAGAACATGGACCTGCTGTTTGGCATCAGAACATGGACCTGCTGTTTGGCATCAGAACTCAAACATACATATATATATAAATATATATATATATATATATATATATATATATATATATATATATATGTATGTATGTTTCTCTATATACATTTATATGATATAGATATCCTGCTATCATTCATCCTTTTCTCCAGGAAACCAGCTGATGATGAGAGGACTTCTTCTTCTGGTCTTTCAGATCTTCGTCTCCTCCTTTGGGGAAGAAGAAGATCAGCAGGAGGATAAGCCATGTGTGATCGTTTAAAGAGAGAGTAGAAGAAGAAGAGACTCACCTACGCTGACATCAGCAGACCTGTGGTCACTGCAGAAAAACAAACACACTCATTACTCACCTGCTAACCCACTGCTAATGCTAAGCTAACTGAATTTAAAGCTAACTATTAGCTAACTGACCTAAACTCACCTCTTCAGGCTTTTAATGTGTGATGTTGTTTTTTATTTATTTTTACCAACTTTGAGCACCTGACCAATACAATGTATTATTATTAATATTAACGGCACCTTAAAGGGGATCTATCATGCAAAATGCACTTTAGTACGTCTTTTATACATGAATATGTGTCCCCGGTGTTCCAGGGAACTCACCAAGTGTCAGAAAACACAACCCTCTCTATTTTCCTCCATACCCAAATCTCTAAAAAAGGGGTGTGATCATTTGAGCCTCTTCTGCATGTCCAGATCATTCATAGTAACAATCAACTGATTCAAAATCATTGATGCTGCAGCCCACTGACATGGTTTGAAATCGATATATTATCCAGTGTGTGAGCCCCCACAGGACTTAAAAAGCACCTAACTAGATAATGGAAATCCCGGAAATCTCGGGGGAGTATACCCCCAAACCCCCCTAACATGTTTGGACCTCGGTATTTAGGAAATCCTGGATACGGCCCTGGTTCTACTAGGCCGAAATCGAGTCAAAGAGTATATGAGAGTGAGAGTGTGTTAATTAATATATTTGGCAGTTTGGAGTAAGTCTGTAGATTTGTGTGTGTGTGTGTGTTTCATGTATAGGCCTCTCACGATAATTAATTTGGTTGGATACATTTTCCCGGAAATTATTGCGATAAACGATAATATTGTCGGCACCGTTGTATGACCATTTTAGACCACTGACATAATGATAATATATAATATAACTATAACTGCTAGTCACATCCTCATGTAAATGGACATTTATCGAGTTCATTTTTATTTATCGAACGATAAGTCAATTAATTGCTTATCGCGACAGGCACACAATAAAACAGTGGAAACTTTGTGCCCTTTATAGTCTGTGTCCAATATTGTGTATTTGTATATATTGTATATATATCCAATATATATGCTAAGGTGCCTCTACTGACACGATAGCAGTCATTTAGTGCGCATATGTGTAATTAAACCCATGATATCAAAATCTCACTCCAGCCAGGTACCCAAAGTTGGCAACCCTGAGCTAACTCTAAGCTAACTAACCCTGTAGCTAACCCTAGCTACCCCTTCATCTTTAAAGTAAATTGAAAACCCACGGATCATTACCTCCAGTATTTTGTCCGTGGGTTGAGGATCTTAATGCTAACACAGAAGTAGGGGGTCAAACACATAAGCTAATGCTAAGCTAAAGCTAAGCTACCTAGCCCTGTAGCTAATGCTAAGCTATCTGCCCCCTCCTCACCGTCCTTGCTGTCCGGAGGCAGCAGAGCATCTTGTCTGTTGGCGAGGACGAAGGCCAGCGTAGCCAAGATGGCCGAGTCCAGGATCCCCAGCAGAGCCAGGATGTAAGCCCAGTGAACGGAGCAGTTACCTGGAGAGAAGCTGCCCACCTGGAGACACACAGGTCACATGATCACACACCTGGAGAGGAGTCACATGATCACACACCTGGAGACACACAGGTCACATGATCACACACCTGGAGACACACAGGTCACATGATCACACACCTGGAGACACACAGGTCACATGATCACACACCTGGAGAGGAGTCACATGATCACACACCTGGAGACAAACAGGTCACATGATCAAACAGGTCACATGATCACACACCTGGAGACACACAGGTCACATGATCACACACCTGGAGACACACAGGTCACATGATCACACACCTGGAGACACACAGGTCACATGATCACACACCTGGAGACAAACAGGTCACATGATCAAACAGGTCACATGATCACACACCTGGAGACACACAGGTCACATGATCACACACCTGGAGACACACAGGTCACATGATCACACACCTGGAGACAAACAGGTCACATGATCACACACCTGGAGACAAACAGGTCACATGATCACACACCTGGAGACACACAGGTCACATGATCACACACCTGGAGACAAACAGGTCACATGATCACACACCTGGAGACAAACAGGTCACATGATCACACACCTGGAGACAAACAGGTCACATGATCACACACCTGGAGACACACAGGTCACATGATCACACACCTGGAGACACACAGGTCACATGATCACACACCTGGAGACACACAGGTCACATGATCACACACCTGGAGACAAACAGGTCACATGATCACACACCTGGAGACAAACAGGTCACATGATCACACACCTGGAGACAAACAGGTCACATGATCACACAATGTACAACAATATCTGTTTTCTTTGATCTGTTGTGATGTTTCTATATATTGATAGTTGTGCTTTTATCTCAATGTGTGCTCATGTATACATGTGTCTGTTGATTGTGTATAGAGGCTTGTTTGAGACGAGCGAGACCGACGCAGACCTGCGCAATTGCGACCGCCGTCTTGCTGGTGCGTTGCATGATGGTCATTTTGTCCGACTTGCTCTGGAGGCTCGCCTACATGAGACGTTGAAATCTCGCGGGACAAAGACGCCCGCAGCCTTGAGAGCGAGGCGCGGCGAGGCGGCGCAGTTTCTCTCCACGGGCTGCGGAAGAGAAATGCATGATCACCCAGTGATTGCTGATCGCCCAGTGATTGCTGATTGCTGATTGCTGATTGCACAGTGATTGCTGATTGCACAGTGATTGCTGATTGCAGCCAGGTGTGTGTTCCAAGATGGCAGCACGTTGATTTGTCTCTGTTAGTCTCATTCTCGTTGTTGTTTTTTTTGGCATTAACTACCTCTTGTGCATACTGACATTTAAAAAGAATTATTTAGCTTTTTAGACCCGTTTTTAAATTGGTCTGCTGCGCTTTTAAAAACGTTTTAAAAGCTTTTAAAAGTTTTTGGGCTGTTTTGCGTCGTGTTGTGCCGGTGCCTCGCTGTGACTGGATTGTTTGCTCTCTGCCTGAGCTGTCGCTCTTTCGGACTGTGGATTGCTGTCTGTCCTGCCGTGCTGTCGGGGGCTGGTCGACCTGAGCTGCTGGGACCTGAGCTGCTGGGACCTGAGCTGCGGATCCTGAACTGGGTGTGTTGCAGCTCAATGTTGCCTAAAGCTACCCTTATGTTCGCTTTTTTCCTGGGATTAATTGTCAGCCCGCATGTCGGCAAAACTGACGGATTGCCTCCCAGCGATGCCTCTGTTCACTTCGGACATTCGGATGGTGGAACCTCTGGAGCGCTGACTCCATCGGATAGTTTTTACCAAAAGCTGACGTTTCATGGCACGAAATGCGCTCTCCCGTATGCCCTTTTGACTCTGGACTCGCTAATATCGAAGGATCGGAGCAGCCCCGCCCCTCTGAGGAGTGACGCGTCCAGAGCACATGTGAAAAAATCATCTTCCAGACTGTTAATATTGTTACTGCTATTACTCTCTGGTAACGTTAACATTAACCCTGGTCCTGAGTGTTTCTCTGCTTCCCTGCAGCATATGCCAACTCCGAATGAGTTTAGCTGTAGGCAAGGATTGGGTTTTCTGCATGTTAATGCTAGAAGCCTAGTGCCCAAATTAGATGTTTTCAAGACCTGGTTTTTAGTTGCTAAGTCTGATATTGTTGTAGTTTCTGAAACCTGGTTAAAACCCTCTGTCACTGACACTGTTATTCAGATTGATGGATATAATGTATTCAGAGCGGATCGTAAGGGCAGAGCTGGTGGTGTTGCAATATACACTGCTGAGAAACTACAGTGCTCTGTCCTTCACTCAATTTCAATTCCAAGGCAATTTGAGTTGCTAGCAGTCCAAATAACTATAGCAAATGCTCCTCTCACTGTGATTGGCTGTTATAGGCCTCCATCGGCCATCATGGATGCAACTACTAGCCTTACTGAATTGTTGTCTAACTTTTCTTCTGAAATCATTTTATTGGGTGATTTAAATTGGGACAGGCTGAGTGATAAATCCTCACAGTTTAAGCAGGTTTGTGATTCTTTGAACTTAACTCAGCTTATTGATAGTCCCACTAGAATAAACCCTGCCAAACCCAATAACGATACCCTTATAGATGTCATTCTAACATATGCAGCTCATAAGTTTGTGTCTGTTGGTGTTTTTCCTAATGATATCAGTGACCATTGCACTATCGCTTGCGTTAGGAGCACTAAGTTGCCCAAAGCCAAGGGCCTTATTGTGCTCAGGCGCTGCTTCAAACACTTCTCTGAGCAGGCTTTCCTACACGATCTGGCGGAGGTTAAATGGCACTTCACAGCGTTAATTCCATCTGTTGATGTTGCCGTCCAATTTTTTATTGATCCCTTTTTATCGATTATTAATAGACATGCCCCCCTTAGAAAATTCAGAGTTAAGAATAGGAACACTCCATGGTTTACTAGAGAACTATCTGATCTCATTCATGATCGCAATAAGCAATGGTCCTTAGCTAGAAAGTCTAACACTAGTGATGACTGGCTTCTTTTTCGTGTCCTCAGAAATAAATGTTCTGCCCTTATTAAAAAAGCTAAAGCTGATTACTATCTGAGCTTAACCACTGATTGTTTTAATGACCATTCTAAATTCTGGAAAACAATTAAATCACTTCAGAACAAGAAGGTTTCTAGTTTCCCACAAAAACTGAAGGTCAATGATTCTTTTATTTCAGATTCAGATGGTATGTCTAATGCCTTTAATGCTCACTTCAAAAAGGCTGGTCACATTTTTGATGAGCAAAGTCATGACTCTCTAAATGGTCGTACTCACAGCCATAGTCAAGAGTTGAACTCCCCTGTATTTGATTTCGCTTATTTCTCGGTCTCTGAAGTCTTACAGGGTTTGCACTCGATTGATCCTAAAAAGTCTGCCGGGCCTGACGGCCTTGACCCGTTCTTTTTAAAAATTGCAGCTCAGATGATAGCACAACCAGTAACTGATATTTGTAATCTCTCCCTGTCCACTCACACACTGCCAGCTGTGTGGAAGCAAGCTCTGGTATCGCCCCTCTTGAAAGCTGGTGATCCCACGGAGTTCAATAACTATCGTCCTATCTCAAATCTTTCTGTGTTATCAAAGATTCTTGAGTCCCTTGTTTCTGCTCAGCTAAAACTTTTTTTAAATTCACACAACATCCTTAACCCTATGCAATCTGGATTCAGATCAAAGCACAGTACTGTGACTGCCAGTCTGAAAGTCTTAGACGATATTAAGGCTGCTTTGGATAAGAAATCACTTTGTGTTGCATTGTTTATTGACCTAGCCAAAGCATTTGACACTGTAGATCACCACATTATGTCTAATGTTATGTTGGTGTCTCGTTTCGGTCACAATGCCATTTGCTGGTTTCAGAATTATCTAACCGACCGTACTCAATGCGTCAGGTTGGGTAGTACTGTCTCTGACCCTGTCACCTTGGAGAAGGGAGTTCCACAGGGCTCTATTTTGGGGCCCTTGCTCTTTTTATTATATGTAAACACTATTTGTAATCAGATGCAATTTTCTACCTATCATATGTATGCTGATGACACTATTGTATACTCGTGTGCTCCTTCTCTGGATATGGCCATTTCCAATTTAAAATCAGATGTTATCACGCTGCAGCGCTTCTTGATTCTAAACTGCTATTGAACAGTAAGAAAACCAAAGCAATGCTTTTTGCTCCCAAGTCAGCGTCCTCCTCTTGCCTCTCCATTGACACCCTTGATGGCGTTTCTGTTGAATTTGTTGATACCTACAAATATCTGGGCTTTTGGTTGGACAGTAATCTGAACTTTAAACACCATATTGAAGTTTTAACAAAGAAATTGAAATTCACTCTTGGCTTCCTTTTCAGATTTAAATGTTGTTTTTCAACTTCATCCCGTAAAAGGTTGGTCTCTGGCTTATTCCTGTCCCAGCTGGACTACGGTGATACCATTTATAGATTTGCCTGTCCCACTGTTTTGGCCAAACTTGACCCACTTTACCATGCTGCACTGCGTTACATATCAAATGCACCCTATAGGACTCATCATTGCACACTGTATAGCCTAACTGGATGGTCCTCACTTACTATGCGTAGGATGCAGCACTGGTTTTTATTAATGTATAAAGCCATTTTAGGAAAGCTTCCACTCTACATATGTGTTAGATTTGCCCCAGTTTGTGACTCTTACAGCCTCAGACCCAGTGCCTGGATACGGGTCCAGGTTCCTGCTGTGCGGACTGAGGCTGGAGAAAGGAGTCTTTCTTATTATGGTCCTCGGTCTTGGAATGACCTTCAATCACGCCTCAAACTGAGGGCACTTGTCTCTATATCATGTTTTAAATGGAAGTTGTCTGAAGTCCTCACCACCAGCTGCTCTTGCAGTAACAAGTAGTGTACTTTTCTTACTGTCCTAATGTGCTCAATGTAGGGACTGCTTTTTCCTCTTTTGTTTTCTTTATGTTCTCTGTATTTTATATGTTTGTGTTCTGTGTTCTGTGTAACGTTGCTGCCTTCTTGGCCAGGTCAGCATTGAA